TTCATTTGCCTTGGTATCTTGTTTTCTGGCTATGCCACAAATTTGTTTTTGTTTTGGAGAATAAAACGTATTCATTCAGTAAATATGTATTGAGCACGTAGGGTTTGAAAGGCTCTTTGCCAGATGATGGGCGAACACAGTCAATGAGCTCTTCTAACCACTGCTCTCATTGCAATTAGCTAAGTAAATCAACTTGGCATTGCCCAGTCTCTGAGTCACCACACTTGCCAGGAACCAGTCTGAATTTTCTCCCCATTGTGTTTGCCAGGGCATGCCCTCATTTTTAGAACTTGGCTAACAACTCATTTCTGTGACACCTTTCAAAATTATTCTTCAGCCTTTATCATTCAAATTCCCTCTCTATTTTCATTAAGAACATCTGAACAGAGTTATGAAGTTCATAAGGTATTTGGAAAAAGTGCCCACCTGACAGGTGGCCTGGTTTTTCAGTCCAGCTTTGCCACTAATTGGATGTATGATCTTGGCTAAGTTACTTCACCTCCTGGGGTCTCAGTCTCTGACATCTGTGTGGGCCTCTATGGTTGTGCTAGCTTCTGACTCTGGCCATAATTTCCAAAATTCCTGAGCACAGGGACAAGTCTGAAATATTAAATGTGTTTTATTTGTTGACCAACAACAATCTGTTTAGCACACATGCAGGTCAGTTCAGTCGCTCAGTCGTGTCCGACTCTTTGTGACCCCATGAACCTCAGCACACCAGGCCTCCCTGTCCATCACCAACTCCCGGAGTCCACCCAAACCCATTCAGTTTTCATCATAAACCAACAAAATCATTCTCATACTTCTTGATATTGAATGCTCTGGCATATACCTTTTACAACAAAGTTGTCCCTGCTTCCTCAAAATCAATATAATTCTGCCTCTTGGGGCACTATTTTTCTTGGGAAAAAAGTTATTTCTGTGAGTTGTGTGAACTACACAGAAAGAGAAGCAGCAAAAGTACATGGTACACTATTCTTACAGATCATGCAGAATTTATGAGACACGAGAGCTCCCCGATGGGAAATTTGCAAATCTGACCTCCAGGTCTCCCTAGGATGCTTGACTACTTTATTGGATGGCTCAGGTGTGGCTTAAGAGAGGCAATGGGGGCTTAAGATTTCTAGGACCAGGACCCTTTTAGCTACAGCCCAGGTCTAGAGAACTGTTCCAATGTCTTACTTTACCACCCCTCCACATTTCTCTATTTTGAGCCTCATCCTTATTGACACTCCTTCATTCTGACAGGGGGAATTGTGCCTCTTATGTCTTTTTGGCTTCTGGATCCATCATCTTTCAGCTCCTCAGGAATTTCATTCCCTTAATTATCCCCTTTCCCCTTTCTTGTCAACTCTTTCCCACCCTGGTTCTTCTTTTCAACTTCTATGCCTGCTCAGATCTTACTTTAAAACAAACCTCGCCTGCATCCCTGCACTCCTTTGCCTGGCTAACACCAACCTGTCTCTCCATTCTCGGTTCACACGAAGCCTCCCCTCCATGCCCACGCTTCAACTTTTCTCTGCTCCCAGAGTGCCCTGTGCACATCTCTCGTCTCACATATATCCTGTACTGCAGTTTATTTTTTTTATATGATCACCCCTGCCACTGGACAAAATCTAACTGTAGTTTTTACCTATTGCTGAACTCTAGATACCTTATATGGTAATCTCAATAAATTTTTGTTGAATCAATAATGCAGAGGCCGACTCTAAGATAACGAATGTGTCATGTTGAAAAGCTGTTTTCAAACCTAAGTAAAGAAACTGGAATGGGCCCAGAAAATTCAAGATGCTTATATCCTCAAGACCCATCTGCAGTGAGGTTTAAAGAAGTAAGGTATTTTGACATACTACTTTTTAACTAGAGCAGGATACTAAACAGTGGTAAGATCTCAATTTTCCCCTATAGCGTCCCTTTTAAAAATTACATATACAGTACTTATTCAATGAAGAAGCAAATTTGAGTATAAAAATCACCTGTGATACCACAATGTAGATATGACTTCTGTTAATATTTCCATGTACATTCTTCTACACTTCTTTACTGTGCTAAAATGTCAATTTGTGTAAATACATACTTTAAATGTACATATATTACATTATACCATGTATACTTTTGAAAGCCTACTTTTTCACTCATCATGTGCATCTTTCCACACCACTAAAAACACAGCTACAATATCACTTTTTATGCTGGAGTGGGATTAAGGTAGGTGAGGGTCATGATATATATAACCAATCCATCCTCTATTATAAAATTTTAGGTTGTTTGTAGTGTTTCATTATTTCAAAACCATTTCAACAAAAAAGTTTACATTTTTTTTAAGCTCATGCCTTATTATTTGCTGAAGATGCATTTTTAATGGTACAGTTTCCTGGTCAAAAGATATATTCATATTTGAAGTTTTTTATGTTACAAACTGCCAAATTTCTCTTCAGAAAGTTGTACCAATTCATGAGCTTCCCCAGTGGCTCAAAGGTAAAGAAAATTGTACCAATTCACACAAAAGTGGCTTTTCCCCACACTCTCACCAGTATAGGTTATGCTGATGCTACTTACTCTTTTTCATTTTGATTTGATTGCTAAGGTTTTTCTTTGAAAACTTACATCTCATTGATTGCTAGTTAGGCTGAACATAGTTTTATATCTTTATTGTTCCTTTTATTTATTTTTAAAAAAATGTTTGTTTATTTATTTATTTATTTGACTGCCCAGGTCTTAGCTGCAGCATGCAGGATCTTTTAGTTGCAGCATGCAGGATCTTTTAGTTGCAGCATGCAGGATCTTTTAGTTGCAGCATGTGGGATCAAGTTCCCTGACCAGGGGTCAAACCCTGGCCCCTTGCATTGGAAGAGTGGAGTCTTAGCCACTAGACCATGAGGGAAGTCCCTATTCCTTTTATTTTATATTTATTTTTGAGTTTCTTGTTCATATTCCATTATCTCCTATTTATTTGAAAAGTTACATGTATTTGCCAAAAATCTATCATATACTTTTTTTAAATTGCTCTTTGCATTTTAAAGCCTTATTTACAGTGTTTGGGTTTTTTTAAAAAATTCTTACTTTACTATGCGTAAAGTTTAAGCTCTTTTCCCACAGGTAATCTATCTTTTCTTTCAGGTTTCTTCTTAGATGCCTTCCCCACATGAGGCAGAGATTACCAGTTACTTACCAAATACCCTCTCCTCATCTTCTCTAGCAAGAGAACAACGTGTTTCTGAGTCTCTTTTGTAGTTGGTTGTGACCAGGTGACCAGGTAGGGCCAATACTGCAAGTGTTGTTGTGTGACGTGGGGCAAAACTCCACAAGAGTGAGAGATGAGGCTTCTCCCTTCTTTTCTGCTGCCTAGAAGGAGACAGCTGGACTCCAGCGGTCATCCTGGACTATGTGGCAGTGGGCACAGAAGGAAGGAGGCTGGAGTCCTCATGTGTATAGCTATCACACCAGCCCTGGGCTGTCTACCTTCAAACTTCTCCTCCATAAGAGAATAAGTAAGTCACTATAGTCAAGCCTCTAGAAAGAGCAACTCTTACTCCTAAAAGCAATTCCTAACTCATATGCTGACCCAAGGTTATATCAATATTTATATGTATTTTTATCTACTATATTATCTCTACCTTTATAGATATATGACTGAAAAGACTTATAACTAAGATCCAACAATAGTATATATAAGATGATAATTCTTGGTAGAGGCTTCTTCAAAATAATAATTGCTAGGCTTCCCTGGTGGCTCAGCTGGTAAAGAATCCGCCTGCAATGCAGGAGACCCCAGTTCAATTCCTGGGTCAGGAAGATGTGCTGGAGAAGGGACAGGCGACCCACTTTAGTACTTGGGCTTCCCTGGTGGCTCAGTTGGTAAAGAATCTGTCTGAAATGTGAGAGAACTGGGTTCAATCCCTAGGTTGGGAAGATTCCCTGGAGAAGGGAACAGCTACCCACTCCAGTATTCTGGCCTGGAGAATTCCATGGACTGCAAAGAGTTGGACACGACTGAGTGGCTTTCACTTTCAGACCCCCGTGTAGATAAACTGTTACACTGAATTTTAAGGAAGAATCTAATTATAAAGTTTTATTCTATCAGGCAGTTTTTGAAAAAGTTAGGCCAACAATCTTGACTAAAGTACTTTTATAATACAGATCTTGAAAATAGTTTTAGTATTTATTTTCTTCACTAATTATCAGCTTTAATCCTGACAAGTTAGTTTTCAGAGGATGTGACTATAAAATATGTCTAGCTAGTTGGGAGGTTTTCAGTGTAGATAATTGGATACATATTTAAATTTGAATAATAAAGAGCTATCATATAGCAATATTGTACTATAGTTCCTTACAGCCAGAATTTCATTTTAATACTATTGGTTTTAAAACATGTTTTGACTATAGGTATGCTTTTTCTAGAACTTGACAACACATATTACTCTTGCTCATGGAAAAATTAGCCAGATATTAATTAGTGTTCAATTAAATGTAATGAATATTTACTTAACTAATATTTATTGTCTATATGTGTGTGCATGCTCTCAGTCATGTTCGACTTTTTGTGACCCCATGGACTCCAGTCCACCAGTCTCCTCTGTTCATGGGACTTCCCAAGCAAGAATACTTGGGTTTCCATTTCCTACTCCAGGGGATCTTCCTGACCCAGGGATTGAACCTGTGCCTCTTGCATTGGCAGGGGGTTCTTTACCAGCTGAGTGACCAGGGAAACCCCAAACACCTTTTATGTATTCATTAGTCTCTGTATTTAAACTCACAATGACCTGCAATTCAGGTAATATAATCCCTAGTTTAGAGAGGGGGAAATTGAAGCTCAGAGGTGTTAATTCATTTGGACACTCACTGGCTAAAATGAAATTTCAGACAGCCTCTGAAACCTGTTAATTTCAAAGTCTAAACTCCTATGCTACTCATTCCAGGCCCTGAACTGGGTCTGAATGAGATAAGAGATTAGGAAGACAATTTCCTACAAGCAATATTAAAGAAAATTTGGTACTTACCCGTCCCACACAGATCCGTTATGTTAATACGAGTGGGCAGGGAACTGCCTTTTGAGTTAGCTGCAGACACAGCCACAGCCCAGTTCCCAGTTCTGGGAATGACCCAGGTCCAGGAGGTGTGTTCTGTGATGTTCTGTAGTGTGATTTCCCCTCCTGCCACCTCCTGTAAGGTCACTTGATAGTGGAGGATTTTTCCTCTTGCTTCCAATAGACTCAGATTCTGCAACAAAACACATTTACTTACTGTGTACTCTCAGACAAGGTCACTGGAGGCTCTACGCTAGGACCTCATGACTGCATGCAGCAGGCAGCTATACTAGAGCGACCTTTCTATTTACATCTTTTTGTTTCTTCCACCACACACTTTTACGCTCCACCAAGCCCCACCACTTAAAGAAAAAAAATCAGTTAACATTTTTTAAAAGTTAATTCTTAAAGAATTGTTTGGGAACAATCCCAGAAAGTAAGCAGAAAACTAATTCTTTGTATTGTAATTCTGTTAGGACAAGGACCATGAGAAACAGAAGCACTGGAAATGGAGAGTTGCCCAAGTCTGTGTTGGCAGTGCTTGTCCATGCCTAGTGTAGGGAGAGAAGGGCATTGCTCACCAGACTAAAGCATCACAGTTTTCGTGGCAAGGCTCTTCCTTCCATGGGGTGTGTGGTGGCCTCAAGACGCTGAAAGACACACCTTAGGGTTGGCAAATGCCCCTTTCTCTGCTCCTAAGCCATCTTTTAATAATTTGGTATCCTATGTCTTTTATCTGTCAGGAGACGGTGGGTTAACATGAATATCTGGTTCATTTAGAATTTGTTTCTTCCACTTTAAGTGAAAAAACTGGCCTTCTGATTATAATTTGCTTCTGAAATAATTACCATGCTGTGAGAGGATGCTCCTATCTGCTGACTCAGGCCTTCTGGTTGGCCCAACAGCTGCAATTCTCACTATAAATTAATGCATGAACATCTAGCTTTTTAATATTTCAGGCTATGGGAGTTTGAATGATGCAGGTCATGTCCTAGGTGCCTTTCTGGATCCACAAGGGCCAAGACTAGATCATAAAACATGGTCAAGGCAATGGGTGAATGCCATGTGGTTGGCGGCATTTTGGACTGCATGTTCAGCCTTTCCTTAGAAGACATCCTGTGTCCTGGCAAGAACCAACAAAGTTTTTTTGGGGCAAGTGTCCATCACAGCTGATCTTGTGTGGATTAAAACAAGTGAGAACATTGTGATATTCTGAACTGTTATTAATAAACATGCCCTTTGCCACAGAAGAAAAAAACAAGATAAATTAAAGCAAAAGCTGGGTAGGGAAGACCATTTCCTCAGCTCTCTCACTCCATCCTTCCCTACCTGTCTCTTCGGTAGCTCCAGTGGGAGCACTGTCACCCCTATCGCATGCACCCCCACCCAAATGTATTTCCCAAGAGTTGGTGCTCACAAAGCTCCCATTCTTGCCAGGGACCCAGGAGGCAAATAGAGAAACAGCCTCTATTATGGCCCTCTTATTGTCCTTCACAGACACCTTGGCAATCTCATGCAATCCAATTCAAGTCCTCCTGGGTCCAACAAACCTACACAGTGACTGCTGTGGAAATCTATCTGATCCCAGTGATCTGGTAAACAGAGGTATGGGTTGGAAAGATGAGTGAAGGAGGGCAGCGAAGGGCCTAGACCTATCTTGCATTTTCTCTTCATATCCCATATTTTCGAGCTGCAAATATCATTGAGAATGTGAAGATAGGGCCAACAAGTTAGACAAATGAACATGGTATCCCTTGATTTATGCTTCTATAAAATGTCAAACTCAAGTTTGGGGATAAAGGTTAACATCAATCAGTTAACTAATCTCCTTAACTAAACTGGAAAATGGACCTAACTTGTCTAGCAGGGTCCATAGAATAAAAGATTCAATGAGTTCAGTGAGCCAGTGGGGAAACAAGTATTTAGCCGGCAGGGCAGTCAGTCTCCTGTAGCACCTGAAAACAGTGTGATTAGGTTAGCTTAAACAATTAGCTAACATCAAGTTTGCAAATCATGTACATAATCCATAACCCGTGGATTACACCTGGCTCTGAAGGAATGGAATAACAACAGGATTAAATGCTGCAGTAATTATTCCAGTTATAATAATAGCTGGAATAGAATAATACCAAAAGAACAGAACTGGAGGGGATTCTCCAGATGAACAATTAATTCAGTGTTTCATTTTATCAACGGAGGAAACTAAGTCCCAGGGACACGAGATGATTTGCTTAAGGCCACTCAAGAGAGAGATGGAGGAGCTGAGAGTGGAATCAAGGGCTCCTGACCTCCGAACTCATGACCCCTCCACTCTGCCTCGCTACTGCTTCTATTGGCACGCCTGAGACAGTTGGTGAGTACAGGCGCCATATTGCATAGTTGGGTCCTCAGTCACCCTTCTGGCCCAGAGTTGCAAAGCAGCGTCTGTAATTGTGCGGCTGTGGTATGCTCTGATGTGGAACATCAATAGTGGGCATAAGGTTGGTAATTTGGGGAGGGTGGAGATCCAGAATTCTTTCTCCAGAGCCGACAGGCTCTGAGTCAGAAGGGGACAAGTTCTGAAGTAAGAAGAACCTTGGCCTGAGAAGCCAGCTGGTTCTTTTCAGGTAAACTTATTTTTTCCTCTAGTGTTTTTTTGGGTGGGTGAGAAGGGGGAATCTATCATCTGTTGGGCCATACCATGAGTCAGGAGCTCTACAACGAGTGTCACGTTTATTCCTTCTAACTCCCCATTCTGATGAGGGTGCTAAAGCTCAAGAGGTTAAGAAATGAACTCGTCCCCACAGTAATGTGAGATTTTAGTGCGCCCTCTGGTGGATGTGAGAGATGAAGGTGATACTCATATTGAGCCTGAGGTCCCTGTAAACATCACAAAGACAAGGTACTTCTTGTCCCTTCTTGGACAGTGCTAAGAGCAGATTTCAGCCAGTGATATTACCTTCTTCTACTGGTAAGAATACACTAAAAGAAAAAGTTGTCCACTGCTTCTCTCCCTTCAGTTTTCTTTCTGCTCTGTCCTGTGGAAAATGACCTAAACTTAGTGAACTTAGCCTTTCTGACTTTGGTTTGTCCAAGAAGCAAGGAGTGAACAGCTCCCTTATAAACCATTATAATAATTCGCTGTCTGAAAAGACTTTCAGAATCAAAAATAACTTGGTGAATGCAATCCAAGAAAGCACAAAGTCTGATGCATTTCATAATGCACTGCCCCGTTTCTGTTTTGAAGTGTATTATAGGAAAGGTGTTTCTGTGAATTGGTAAAGCATTTCCTCTTAGTACTTTAAAAAAACCTACTGTACTGACCATAAAGCAATATTTTACTTCTGAATTTCTCTTGAAGCAAAAAATAACTTTTTAAAAACTGTTAGAGTTTAGCCTATATCAGAGAAGAGAGCCTGTAATCAGGATCCCTTGGAAAGCTGGGGAGTTTGAACACTTACTAATCACAGCTTTATCTGTGAAGATTTTTTTTTTCCTTTTGGGTTCTGGAACACTGCTGACTTGGTTCTTGTTCTTAGGACAGATCTTTGACTTTTCTGTTCCACCACTTAGCAGCTGTGTGACCTTGGGCAAGCTATTTCAACTCTCTGAGCCTCAGTTTCCTCACATGTAAAATGAGGATAATTCTTTGTGCAGCACAGGCGTATTGGAGGATTCAATGACCTAAGGAAAGCAGACTGTTTCAAAAGAGTGTTTGGTGCATGACAGATGTGAAGAAACTTAGTGGGTACTCTTTACTCACTCTAATATAAAAATCATCACGATTGGCACTTTACCCTTATGGCCCTTCTATGAATCCTCTATTATTCTGAACCTGGCTTATACCACAGCTCTCTGTGGAAGTCTCACCAATATCATACAGTTGATTACAAAGTCTATACACCATCCGTGGGTTTAAGCCTGCATACCTCGACTTTTCAACTTACGACTGCCTTCAGCAGCCCTAGTTCAAAGTAAAGACAGTCTTCACCTGGAAGTTTTAAAAATCACTGTACTGGGAGTTTCTATCTGTGGATCTATTTTCCCCATTAGCCTGTCAGTTCATTTTTGCATCCGCAGTGTCATGCACAGTGTTTGCCTCCTAACAATGACCTTGCAAACACTTTTCACAACTCTGTCTTTAGTTTTCATATCAATCTCACTTAGTATATGCTATTATTATCTACATTGTGCTCATAAGGCGCAGAGAGGTTGAGCACCATGCTCAAGGACACACAGCCAGCAAGCGGGAAAGCTGGAACTTGAATCCAGGTAGCACAGCCGCTCTACCTGGAGGATAAAGTCTTAAACTGCTGTCATGCTGGCACTTAGACATCCCCCGGGTGTTCTGTTACTCTGAACTGATTTACCTTCTGGCAGTTACCCTGGCATAATGATTTCTATCTTGTTTTACAGCTGGAAAACAGCAAAATAATGAAAACTTTTTAAGAGCAAGCTTTAACTCCCCTTGCATCTGTGTTTTCTATCTTCTGTTAATTGTCTGCTACTTATTCTTATCTTTGTCACTGACCACATTCTGCTATCCAACCCAAATTCCCTGCATGGCAGCTGGTATAGCATGCGTGACCAGCAAGCAAGGGAAAGCAACCTGTTCTGTCTGAAAGTATCTGCAGCAATTCTGTGCCAGCCTGTGTTGGGACAGGGCTGGGAAAGGGAAAGAGACAGAATTGAATACCGCAACAAAACTAATCTTCCCATCTGCTGCTTTTGCATTTAAATATTGATTCTGAGGTTGCATACCTCCTATAATTATATGAGGCTCCTGGCAGTCAATCTTTCCTGGGGATTTACAATAGACCTTTGTGCTGCATCAATATAAACCAGGTTACAAATAATACTTTCTACTTTTATTGAATCCCTTTCATGGGAGGAGGCCAAAGAATTCACGGCTTCAGTGCAATGTGATACAGGCTGGAACACTCTTCATTCACCAAAGACAAAGACGGAGAAAGAAACCAAGTGAATGTACTGAACAAGCTGCTTCTGGTCTCAACTGTCTTTCTGAAGCTGTGCTTCTGTTAACTAGTCTGGGGCTAGCTCTCTTCTCTTTCTCCTTGTCTTCTATGGTTTGAGCATGTATCTGCTGATACTTTTTAAGTTGACCTGTCTTTATACTTAGAAATGTCTCTTAATAGTAGGCTTCCCTGGTGGCTCAGATGGTAAAGACTCTCCTGCAATGCAGGATCCCTGGGT